GATGCACTCTGTGAGAGTAATGTCTGAGACTGCTATTGCCAGCGTCTGAGACTACTATACACCAGCTTCTCCTTAATTAGCCTGATTCAGTCTTCTTGAGCTTTGCTGGCCAACAAATATTCTGAGAGATTAAAATGCATTTACTGGATTCTCGTCTGCTTCTGCATCATATTCTAGCTCCTCATTCTTGCTTTCAAAGGCTCACACAACTTGACTGCCATTAGAACTGGTTCAAGTTTTGATAGAACCATTTTCCATAGGACAGTATTTTGGAAATTCCAGAGAACTTTGCAAGTGAAAAGTTTCATGAAAAAATCATGTTGATTCTGGTAAAAGTTAATTTCAGAGGGGGAAATAAAAACAGGAAAAATTATTTCCTTTTGTTATTTTTAGAATGACATTTTGTATTGGAATAGTTTAATTGGCTGTTATTATACAACATAAAAATGAAATGTTTCAATTTTGTCAAAACAAAATGTTTTGATTAATGCAAAACATTTTTGGCTTTTTTTTGTATGGAGAATTTTGTGCAGACAGCCACAAAGTCTTATTTTTATAACCAGTGGCGATGTGTAGAGGGTGCACAGGGATGCACGTGCACCCCGTGAGAGTGGGGAGTATACTCCAGGGACCATGCTCCTTGTTTAGGTGATGGGCGGGGGGGGGCAGGTGGGAGAGCCAGCGCCCCCTCTGGGAGCACTGGCCGGGGAATGGAGTCGCCAGCAAAAGCGGCAATGCCACTTCCAGAAGTGGCCGTGGGACTTTCAGAAGCAACGTGGCTGCTTTTTGGTGAGTGAGATTGCCCACAGGGGGACCCCCCACCCTGGTCAACATGATCAGCTACCCCCACCCCTGGTCACTGACTGGTGTCGGGGGGGGGGGGGGGCATGTGCTCCCCTGACTCAAGAGGCACCAGTCACCCATGTTTATAAACTTCATCCTCCTTGTTCTACTCCCATTCCATCTCATATCCCCTATACACTTAGAACCAAAGTGGCAAAATACTTACTTCCTGGTGCAATGCTTGTTATTGTCATTAGTATGACTTCCCCTATGAGTAAGCATTTGCTAATGTGCAATTGGGCCCATAGGGTGGTTGTAGATGTGCTGGAGGCTGCTCTGACGAGCTGTAATTACAGCACATCAGAGTTTAATTGAGTCTGCTGGAGTGTGCTAATTAGTGTGCTCCAGCTAGCCTCCATATCTCATATATCATTGTCCCTGCACTTCAAAATGGTAGCAGAGGCTATTTAATGAAAGCTTGTTTGTTAAGCTTTAGTTAAAGCACCCCTGCTGCCATTTTGAAGCGCAGGGATGCTGATACACAAGATGCAACAGGCAATTTAATTAGACTGATTCTGAGAGCTTCTCTAAGTAAAGCCGTCCATCCCCCCCACCTCCCTCAGAGCATGTGTAAAAAACACCCATATATTGTAAACTCTTTAAAGAATTATCAGAGCCACAGCACTGCTACTCCTATGTAAATAACGATAATCCTTTTACATTCCATACAGTCTGCATCTGATTTACTCTTCCATTTTCCTGTTTGCTTCCAGTTCCATATGGAAGGAAATATTTCTTGTCGTTTGCAACGTTAGTGATTATGCAGCACTATATCATTGTTGATACTGTTACCTCAGCTTGCTAACATATAATAGCAACTGCAAAAAGAAGTAATTCCTTTACTAGTATAAATTATTTTTGATGTGTGCATTTATAAAAGAACTTCATCAGTCAAGCATATGGCAAAAGAACGGATTTTAGAGAACCTTCCTATTACTTCTGTTGTATTTTAAAATGTTTAGGAATTGTATTTTGAAGCTTATAGCAGAGAGATTATTGTGTAGTATCTCTTTAAAAAATATTAGCAAACAGTATTATAATATTTGGAAGATATTAGATTGGTTTCATCTTGATGCACATAGAATTCCGATTAAAATTAATATGAATCATTCTCTGCATTTTACTGGGCGTGTCTACATGTGTGCTTTAATGCATGGTAGCCTATTTTACTGTGCATTGAAGCAGTGCATTAAAAACTGTACTATTATGCTAATGTGCAGCAAAATAGGCTACTGTGCATTAAACATCACCTAAAAATCATGTGCTTGCATTACTGTACATTAGGAAAGCCTGATGTGCATTAATTTAGTACTTCAGGGTACCTATACATGATCAGGGAAGCTGCTCCAACACACTTGAATTCCATCCCATCGAAACAGACCTGGTTAATTGTGCTAATTAATCGAGTCTGCTGGAGCATGGCAATTACCATGCTCCGTCAGCCTCCTGTGTCTTGTTTATCAGTGTCCCCGCACTTCATAATGGTGGCAGGGGTGCTTTATCTATAGCTCATTTGAGATGTTCTAGGCCCTTTAATTAGAGCAGCTCTTGGAGATGCTCTAATTAAAGCACCACCCCACCCCAACTCCTGGAGCGTGTATATAAACACCCTCACATTGGAGATACTAAATTTAATGTGCATTAGGAAAAGCTCATTAATGCATGTGTAGACATGCCCACTGGAAAGAAAGGCTTAGTCCATTTTTGCATGCTTTGGGGATGGCGTTTTAGTCTAAAACTGCAATCAAGTTCCTTCTGGAGGGATGGGTGGAGTGGGAGCTGAGTTCATTTGTTTTGCTTTGAAGTTTAGTGAGTCTTTACTCACCTTCCAGACCTACGTTCTATTTCTTCTCTACGCCATCAAGAAAGATGCTCATTGTATACATTTTCTTTTTCTTTCCTCTTTTATTTGTTCATGTGCTAATGCTGTTAGGATCATACAGTCTTTCCCCCCCCTACTCTACACACAAACATATAGGTTGATCTTTCCAGGAAAAAGATCTCTTTGAAACCTCTTGTCCCACACCCTGTGTCAGCTGATGCAGTCTGTACAGAACAGTGTAGTGCTCTTCCCTCTGTCAGGGGCTGAATGTACTGCTTGTTCAGTGTTTCATGGCCCCACGCCAGAAGATGAACTTTACAATGTGGTCACGATTTTTAAAAAAGGGTCCCAAAGTACAAGAAAAACTTAGTCTTAAGATGGAGCTCAAGGAAAGGCTTCAATCAGTCTGTGGCTTTAAAAAGGAGCCCTTTGGTCCTGCCTTTTGGCAGGGGCCAATTTCTTGTTTTTATTTATGTTTTTTGAGGCATTGAGGGAGGTACTGGAAGTATGTGATATAGTTCGGGACATGAGGTTGAGTTTGGTCAGAGGCAGAGGAGTGGGAACAGATTGGATAAGGTGGGTTGCTTTTGATTTTTTTCCCTCTCAATGAGGGGCATTTATTTGTTTTAATATTATTTTAATATTTTATTTTGTTTCTATAATTCTTTTTCTCTTGTGTTGTAAGCCACTCTGAGTCTTTTTGGGAAGGATGGCATGTAAAGCTAATCAATCCATAAATACATTTATTAAAGGAATGTGATGTGGTTGCCTAAAATTATCCAGGAGGTCCCTTGCAGTCCTACATTCAAGTTAGTCTTCTGATCTCATATTTCTGTACCTAAGTGGTCTGATTTTTCAGGTTCCTAGCAGATACCTTTGAAGGCAATAGGAAGTCAATGGGGGAAGAAGTTGAGTGGACTAAGGAGGGGTTTTCCATTTGTATATTTGTTTGCAAGTTTTAATGTTGCTTAGGTGCTTAAGCTTTCAGGAATCTGGCCCAAATACAGAGATCATCCTAAATGACTCCAACTTGATATAGGCTGACATCATTTGCATGTCACATTGCAGCACAATTTAGATGTCTGTATTACCTCCTCATAATGGAAATGGATGTCCCTGCGCGATGGGTGTCCCTGAGTGTGCTGCCAAAATGCATGCCTCTGCCAGTCTACTTGCTTCACATACATCAAACCCAGAAAAGAGTGGTGAAGCTGCCCTGAGACCATTTTGCCACTGCTTCTAAACATGCCAGAAAGAGAGATCTGTAGACAGGACATGGCATATTTTCTCAGCAAAGCTTTCCTGTCTCACCCATGGGTTTGGCACAGCAGGAATGGATGGGCATGATGTTTCTTCTTGGTGTCTTTAAATAAATATTTTTGCATTCGCTAAAATTACTTATGTCTTGCCCCACAGTGCTTTGGGGGACAGCGAAGAGCTAACTATCTTCCTGAACAGCCAGATTGTAATATGCTTCCAAATGAAACTGAGATCAGGATGTCTGGGGGAGGAGGAAGGCAACTTTCTGGTTGGAAGGAAAGATTTGCAAAACTATGACAGAGCAATTTCATTCACTCTTGCACTGAGATTACACGTATTTGTTATTTCCCAACCATTCCTGGCCAGCTGAGTGAGCATTTAGCAGTTTAATATTTGTGTGTTATTAGGAATTCTGATGTAGAGTACTTTCTTGCTTTCTACAACTGCAGCAGCTGATAGTCTAAAGAGTCTGTCTTTATCAAAATATCTAAGCCTAAAAGGAACACAGTTCTTGAACTCTTGCTGAAATATGCTAGTTCTTGCTTGATGTATATTTTAATTTTAAAAAATCAATTTTAAAGTGACCAGAATAAGATAAATTAGAATAAGGATGGATACTGTAGATCAGGAATTGCCAAATTTATAACCACTTTCACCTTTTTCTCTTTGTTCCCTTTGTACATGAGGCATTTAGATTTAAACATATTTAAAATGGACCTGGATTTTCAGATACCATCTCTTTAGGTATAGAAGTAAGCTTACAAAGACTCACACAGCATGCTTAAATCATCTGCAATTTTTATAACTATTTTCAAATACATGTGGAAGTGCTAGACACCTCACAAAAGCATAGAGCTACTGATCTTAAAAAGGTGAAGGATTTCTGAGCTGTTTGGTCAAAAAGGGATCTGAGGGAAGGATCTGGAGCACTATATTTAGAGCCCATCCAGTATGATTATCTGATCCTGAGGTTTCTCTGTAATATCAATAGACTTGAAAATAAAATCATGCCAGGATTTCAGTGAAATACACGTCTCATCAGTCTAATCATGTTTCTTTTTTCTTCCATTTCCAGAATTTAATATAAGTTGCAGATATGCTGGGGTTTTCCATGTTGAGAAAAATCGTCGCTACAGTCTCATGAGAGAAGATGCAGTTGTACTCTGCAGAGCTCTCAATAGTACCTTGCCAACAATGGAACAAATGGAAAAAGCATACAAACTTGGGTTTGAAACATGCAGGTAAGGTGATTATTGGGCAGTAACATATATTCCATAGAATCACAGAAAATAGGGCTGGAAGAAACTGTGAGTCCATGTGTTTGCCTCAAAGAACAATCAAATATAACTAAGCCATTTCTGATAGATACCTGTCCAACTTTCTCTTAACAACCAATAGTGATGGAGATCCCACAGCCCCCCCCCTTGGTAATCTATTCTAGAATGTACCTAATTTTATAGACAGTAAGCTTTTTTCCTAATGTCTCAGCTAAGTCTCCTCCATTGCATTTTAATTCCCTTACTTTTTGTCCTAACCTCACTGGATATGGAGAGCACTTTATAACGTTCCTCTTTATAGTAAACGTACATCTTTGAAAACTTATCATGTGACCCCTCAATCTTCTCTAAGATAAGCAAAGCCAATTCTTTCCAACTTTTCTCACAGATCACATTTTCTAGACCTCGGATAATTTTTTGTCGATTTCTCGAACGCTTTGCAATTGTAGCATCGCTGTTGAAGTATGGTGCCTCCCAACTGGTCACAATGCTTCCAGTATGCTTCAGTTTGTAATCTACTATAAGTAGGGACCTACTAAAATCAAGCAGGAAGACAATCAATTTCATGGGCCAATCACAGGCTGACTGCCATTTTCACAGGCTTATTGCAGTGCTCTGATTGGCTGAGGGGCCCTGGTGGTCCCACCCTTCACCACTGATTGGTGCAGATGGATGCAAAAGGCAGACCTCTCAGCCAATCAGTGGTGGCGGGTGGGGAAAGACTACCATCTTGGCTATTCCACTTCACCTCAGCGGCTCCCCTCTTTCCCCCTTCCCCAGCAGACTAAGGGGCCAGGTCGCAGCAGCCGTGAAGACCATTAGCTCCCACTGGGTAGCCACCATTTTAGTTTTAGTAAGTTTTTTATTTTTATTTGTCATAGACACAGCCTAATTTCTCAGACAACACCCAATTTTGTGACTTCCACAAAATCTGCAAAATTGCGAACTGAGTAGGTCCCTAACTATAACCCCTCAGTTGTTCTCTTTATACATCCTTATGGTTTGAAAATGAGTAGGTATTACCCCATAGTTGTTATACAATGGGAACTACAGCTGCTTTTAAATAGGCATTAATTAGGTGGCCGTGTCACTTATGAGTGGCAAATCTTGAATGAAACCGTGTAATAAGTATACCTGAAAATAGGGAATCACCATGGGAAGGTATACTTATTATGGAATCGCAAACAATTGTTTTTTATCTCTACACAAATTAACATGTGGAGGAAAACAAAATCATTCCTGATAATATTTGCAGGTGTCACAAAGATTTCAATTTCTGTATATAATGAAGTAAACAGGTCGGTGATACAAAATGATCTGAATTGTTTGGTAAACTGGGCACATGCAAATGGTATTTGGCCATTTCAGCCTGACCAAATGTAGAAGCCCTGCATCTAAGAACAGAGAATGTAGGGCCCACTTAGAGCATGGGGAACTGTCCTGAAAAAAAGACTTAGTGAATAATCAGCTTAACGATAAACTTTCTGTGCAACACTGTGGACAGAAAAGGCTAGTGCAACAACCTTAGGACATATAACTGGAAAGTATTCAGAAAAGAGCCATGAAAATTATTTAGATTTGGAAGGTATGTCTTATATCAAAGACACAAGGAGCTCAATCTATTTAATTTATCAAAGAAAGAATATTAAGGGATGACTTGATCACAGTTTGTAAGTACTTTTACAGAGAATGATTATATGGGTTGTAGAAGACAATGATATAACAAACTCCAGATAAGGTGCAAATTTATATCATTGTTAGTAATAAGATGCTAGAACAACTTACACAGTAACTGTAGTGGATTCTTTATCACAGGGAGTTATTAAATTAAGATTGGATGTTTTTCTAATAGCTATGTGCTTGTCCAAGTAGGAATTAATTCAGTGAAATCTTGTGGCTTTTGCTATGCAGGAGCTCAGACCACATTGTGAAAACAGTCTCTTCTAAATCACATAGGTCATTCCAACAAGCAGGTGTAGAAAAGACTCAGAAGCAAAAAACAGAGAGGATTTATCAAACAATGTAGATTCATACATGTGTAATGGTTTTTAAAGCCAAATGGATCAAATAACTTGAATAGATTTTCATCCTTAGAAAGAGCTGGTAAGAAGTGAATAGCATTTTCAGGATTTGTTCAATAACTTATTACGGTAGAAAACCTCAATGGGCTTCTCTTCATCTCCTTGAAGTTTGCTGCCTGAACTTTTTGTTGGTACTGTACTGTAAAAACCTGAAGAAAAATGAAACCAAACAATACTGTTTAAAATGACTACATGTAATCTCAAGGGGAAATCACCTGCTCTCAGTTTGATTCAACCTAGTTTTATTTTTCTAAAGCCTCTAGCTCTTTTCCCCCTTTGTGTGAGAACTGAATGAAAGTGCTTTTAAATTAGTCATAGAGACAAAGATTATATTTATGAAGGGTAATTGGTATAATAAGTATAAAAAGCAACTTGTTAATTAACATTTGTGTGGTACTTTGAAAACATTTAGCTCTGACAGTGCACAAGTCAAGCACTGTTTTTACTGTTAGCCCACTTACAAGCAGGGGCTGTGATATAGGTGTATAGACGGTGGAAGGCCAGGGCTAAAGGGGCTCAGCCCCCCCTCCAAACAAGGGGCAGTGGCTAGGGCCACAAGTCAGCCTGGCTGGCTGTGGGCTCCAGGAGGGTGCAGCAGGGGTGGGGAGGGGTGCACATGCAGCCAGGATCGCAGCCCAGTGTGCAGATCACTGGCTGCCCAGCACAGCAGGCAGATACCACTCAGTTCTGTGAAAGAGAAGGGGGTGGCAGGGCAGATCAAGGCCTCCGGGGTGAGGGAGGGAGCGGGGCACAGGCAGGGCCAGAGGCTTGGGTGAATGGGGTCCCGGCCAGGCCAGACGGTGGGACACTTGGAGCCTGGGCGGCTCATCCAGGGGTGTGGGGGGACTCCTGATGCTGTGTGCATCCCGGCAGAGGCCTGGGGGGGTATGTGCCTCCTGATCTGTGTGTGGGGTGGAGGTGGCTGCTGCTGCAGGCTTTGCTTTGCTCCCCACTGCAACTGCCCCAGGAGTGGTGCGATGCTACGTGCCTGCCGCTGCCAGGCTGTGCTGCGCCCCCTGCCCGCCCCGTGGTGGGATGCACATGGCATCGTGCGAGTCTGGAGGCAGTGGTAGCTGCAGCAGGGCGCAAACCACAGTCTGCAGTGGGAGCCACCTCAATCCCACACACAGATCAGGGGACACGTGACCCTGGGGCCTCCACTGGGGTGTGCACATTGGTGGGAGCCACCCTGAACTGCTAGATGAGCCACCTGGGGTCCAGTCGTCCTAACACCCAGCCCCACAGACTTACCTGCTGGGGGGTGGAGCACACATGCATGCATGCACGCACACTCAGCCCCCCCCAAATAATTTTTTTCCCCTCCAACTATGCATAGGTGGCACAAGCAGCTTCTGTCTGTGGTATGCAAGGGGGCAAGCAGCACAGTGGCAGATAGAGCAGGAAGCAGAAAGCAGAGCAACAGATGGGGCTGGGGAAGTGGATTGGAGTGGCACTTGGCAGGGGTGCAGGACTCATTTGTGACATGCCTGCCAAAAAGGTTGGCCCCTACTGTTTTTAAGGTTTCCTGCAAATCCTAAGAACTGCTATGCCAGTGCTGTGTCTTGTGCCTGTTTACAGGTGTAAATCAAAGAAATACCCACACCATTTTGTCAGATAGTCCTGTGGAGAGAAAGGATAACCATATTATCAGAAAATATCAGGCAAAAATTGTTGATAGCAAGCGTTACAAGTGAAGTGGGAGCATCATTTAAAACCCTGCCAAATGAAGGACTAGAGAGACAATCTTCCACGTACAGGGAAAAGCACTGAATGCTCTGAGAGGTGACTTCTGTCTGCTATTTGAGTCTGAGCTGTGTGTACTCTGGATAGGTAAGATGAGAAGATGGGAAAGAAAGTGTAAAAGGAATAGGAAGAACTGGTTTTCACAGTAGAGGGCTGTGACCTTGCTTTTACATGGGGACAGCCTAAGGTACGTAACTCAGGGTTGGGGGAGGGGCTGGCAGGACTGGGGGAAGCTGGTGCCTGCGCAGGAGGAGTTGGCAGATCCAGGGGAAGCTGGCGAGTCTGGGGGGCTTGCTGGGTCCACAGAAGGGCATTGCCTGGTCCAGGGGGAAGGAAGTCAGGGAGCTGAAAACAGCCGAGTCAAGGTCTGGGAGGCAGGGTATGAACAGAACAGTCCTGGGGCTGGGACAAGTGGCTGGGCTCTCCCAGCCCCAGTACTGAGCTGTGAACGTGTGCAGACATGCAGGAGGCTGGGTGGTTAATCCTTTGTAGCTCAGGTTAACTCTGTATCCTAATTCCTAATAACTGAGCACACCACATTTTGGGTGATATAAGCCCTGTGAACACCTGCATGCCTAGGCATTTAGATCAACTTAACTCTGGTTACATTGATCTAAAACTAATGCTTCTAACACACCAATAGCATAGACAACCATATATCTGTAGGCATTTTAAGAAGGGTGGGGGAGTTGCTGATCAGGATGCTACTATGCTGAAACTGTTTCATCTGCATGACCCTGCAACAATATAAGTGAACTGAGTCACCCCAATTTTGACAGCAGATGTAGCAGAGTTAAAGAGTGGTTTTGGTACACTTGTATTGCTACAAACTCATGCAGACATACCAGTCGGTATCAGTAACTTTTGATAGCAATATAGTTATGTCCATCTATACCCCAGGTGTTAGGTTAAAGTATCTAATAAAAGTATGTTTTATGAACAGTAGAGATTTAGGATTATAAATATCAACCATGCACTTTCATCTAGTTAGATGTGTATGACAGATGCCAACTGAAAAAAAGCTCAGAGAACCATGGCTGGGATTGTGCTGGATTGTGCCCCCATTACCTCTGAGAAGTAGCAGCTCTTGAACACGCATACATGCACACGCACGCGCGCGCACACATACACACACACACACACACACACAACACCAAAAACCAACCAAAAAAGCATTGGGCTTGCTAACATTTTTTCACCTTACCAACTAAATAGATTTTAGGGAAACTAATAAATTCATAGAATTTCGGATTTTTTATATTGAATTGCAAATAGGAATGACTTGTTGCACAGTTGAATTAACCCTAAAATCGATTGAAATGGACAATTGGTAGCATTGTAGCATTGTTTCTATGAAGGAGATAGTATTTCTAGCTAATATCCTATAGGTGTTACATTTTATCATTTTACCATGCTTTGTACTTTAGAAAGACTAGCATATTTTTCACTGTTGCTTCACATCTTTAATTCTGTTTGATCTTCACCGTTTTGTTGGTTTTGTGGTATGCAGTTTCAGTGCAAAATGGCAGTGAGCCGTCTGTTACACTGGAAGTAATAAAATGTCACCCACTGTAAGAAAATCAGTGATCTATTCCTTCGTGCTGCACCTAAACATCTCTTTGAACAAAGAGTGTGTTAATTTTTTCTCCTTCGTTTTCACTGCAGCCTGATGGGCCCACTCATTTTGGGTACTAGTGTTGAAGTTTACATGCAAAATGGCATTGGGCATAGATGGTTGCTGGTAGTTAATGATGCTGTGAAAAAGGAGCCAGTTCCATGACAAGAATTAAGATTATTATTATTCTATGGTGCAATGCAATTCTTATTCTGTATGCAGTGCTGTAGCTTAGTTGCAGGTGACCTATCTGAGATCCTTAAGCAACATATCTTCCATATGTTGTAATATATGCTATTTTTCACTCTGTTCTCCACAGGTACGGTTTCATAGAAGACAAAATTGTACTTCCACGGATCAACCCCTATCATCTTTGTGCAGCAAACTATACAGGGATTTATGTACTTTCATCAAATACAACACAGCCCTATGATACTTACTGTTACAATGCATCAGGTAGGTATTTATTTTAGTGTATATTTGAGAACAAATCTATCGGGAATAATGCAATATTTCACTCAGGTTACTGAAAACTAGATTTTGTGTTGAATTACATCTGTTTTGTTGTTTCCTTGTTAAATTGGAGGATCCAGTACATTTTGTCAGTCAGTAGAATGGTGACTGCTGATACCAGCACTGAATTTTTCTAGTCATATTTTGAACTAAACAATTTTTTGCAGTCATGCTTAATGTGTGGTTGTAGGCCTCAGAGCCTTGTGCAAGTGAAATGCAGTACTATGGATATAAAGGGCCATGTGTAGGAGAAACAAGAGGCATATGTGCATGAAACTTTAAAGCGGGCTAAATGCTTTTGCACCACTTTAATGGAGTCAGTGTTTGTATGCCTCGGTGGCGTACTGCGCATTTATTCCAGCCACAGAAGGGAATTCAGTGGCGTAAATGACTTGGGGCGCAGCAAACTAAAACTCCTTCGAGGGACTTTAGTTTGCTGCCCCTACAGCCACGGAGCAAAACACCAGGCTCTGTGCAGCTCCATGGCTCTGCAGGAAGCCCTGCAGGCAGCCTGGCAGCAGCCCGAGAACGCAGGCTCCGCCCAAGAAAAGTGCAAGCCATGCCTGGAGGCTGCTGCAGCCATAGCTTGCCTGTTCTGAAAGTGGCAGGGGGAACCAA